CTCTTCTCCCCTCCCCCCCTTGCTAGTCTATATTTGTGTTTTATTACTCATTTGAGTGTGTGTTTGTATATTGGTTTCATAATAGTATTGAGTACATGGGACACTTTTTTTCTCATTCTTGAGATACTTTTCTAAGAAGAATGTGTTTCAGTTCTATCTAGGGAAACATAAAAAAATGTAAAGTCTCCATCTTTTTTTAATAGCTGAATAGTATTCAATGGTATACATATATCACAATTTGTTAAACCATTCATGAGCTGATGGGCGTTTAGGTTGCTTCCATGTCTTGGCAATTATGCCAATGTTTTATGAGATTAATATGTCCTTCTTTGGTGGTAAGACAATTATTACTTGGTGATCCCAAGAAAACTTTTAAAATTAGGTCCTTTAATATTAAAGAAAATTAAAAACATTCAGGATAATTTGTTCTTAAAGCAATTTTTTTAAAATATTAGAAATTAATATTTCCATTGGGCATGGTGGCTCATGCCTATAATCCTGCATTCTGGGAGGCTGAGGCAGGTAGATTACTTGAGTTTAGGTGTTTGAGACCGGCCTGAGCAAAAGTGAGACCCCATCTCTACTAAAAATTCAAAAACTAGCTGGGCATGATGGTGGGTGCTGGTAGTTCCAGGTACTTGAAAGGCTGAGATAAGAGAACGGCTTGAGCCTAGGAGTTTGAGGTTGTTGTAAGCTATGACGCCATGGCACTTTACCCAGGGTGACAGAGTATGACTCTGTCTTTAAAAAAAAAAAAAAATTAATTCTTCTCAAATTATTTTTCAGTTGCCCAAAATGTGATAAGAATGAGGAAACATCTTGTACAGATAGACAATGTAGATGTGGAGGTCATAGCCCAGCCAGTGCCGTTAAACTCAGGAGTCAAATTCCAGGTAACATGGTGCTTAAAAGCTTTTTAGATTTCTATTAATCATGGGCTCACGTATTTTATCATACATGTTTCTGATTATGAAACAATTTTCCAGGTTCATGTAGAAGTTTCTAAAATGAAAATCAAGGTTACTGGAATTCCTGATGAGCTGCCTGAAGATCAGATGAGAGACAAGCTAGAACTGAGCTTTTCTAAGTCGCGAAACGGTGGCGGAGAAGTGGAATGGGTGGAGTATGACAGGCCGTCCGGCAGTGCCGTCATCTCCTTTGTGGAAATGGGAGGTACTCACACATTTAGAAAATTGATAAATACTATTCTAGTTCATTGTGTTCTGCCGTTTCTGAAAGTATTTCTATTTTACTTGACATTTACTAGCATGGTAATTGGGGTTGTTTTTAATCCTTATAAAATGGTAGAGCCTAGAAAAAATAATTCCATGAATGCTACTGAGAATGGTAACGTTACTACAAGTAATAGTATGTGAATTTCAGAGTGTTATAATCCCCAGCCAGGCGTGCTACTAGGTGTCAATATATTCATCTCCTTTCATCCTCTGCACAATTCTGGAGGTAGGCGATGTACTCATTTTCTTAATGAGGAAACTGAAGAAAAACAGCCAGATGTCTGTTCTTTTTTTCAGGTAGAGATGGACTTTTACTAAGTCATCTGAGGGTGGTAGACACTCCTATAATTGAAAATACAAGATTCTGTGGTTGCTTTTGTTAAAATTTCCAAGTGATTTTCCATGTAAAAATCTCTTGCTCTTTTCTTGGACTTATATGATAGAAATTCAACTGTACTGTTAAAAAACACTGAGTAGATTTTTTCATAACACAGCAATACATGCTTTTTAAAGAAAATTGAAATAATATAGAGGAGCATAAATTTAGTGAAAAATGAGGCATTTCCTCAAATTTCCCTTTCTCTTGCCATGTAGTTAGTGATGGTTAGTTGGACATTTTTCCAGACGTTTCTCTGGGCACATTCAAATATACATTTTAGACCTGGGCCTTCAGGTGATGTTTAGGGCATCCTAACAGGGTGTGTTGTAGTTAGAAAGAGCCACAAAAGGGAGAGGTCTTGAGGGCTGCCTTAATATTTTGTCTTAGAAGTGGACAATAACTTGGCAGGAATTTCCATAGTCAAGGATCCAGATTTTAATTTTTCAAATTCATATATTCAGTTAGTGTTGGATGGTCCATCTCTTAAATTTAAAAAAAATCCATGAGGCTTGGTGTGGTGGCTCACACCTGTAATCCCAGCACTCTGGGAGGCCAAGGCAGGAGAATTGCCTGAGCTCAGGAGTTGGAGACCAGCCTGAGTAAGACCCAGACCCCGCCTGTACTAAAAATAAAAAAATTAGCCAGACATTGTGGTGGGCACCTGTACTCTCAACTACTTTGGAAGCTGAGGTAGGAGGATCTCTTGAACTCAGGAGTTTCAGGTTGTGAGCTAAGCTGATGCCACGGCATTCTACCCTGGGCAATAGAGTGAGACTCTGTTTCAAAACAAACAAACAAACAAACAAACAAACAAACAAAAAACCAACTCCAGGAGAGAGTTACTTACAAACTAGGCTGCAATTTAAAACTATAGTGAGAGGAGATAATAGCTTGAGAACCCAGCCTCTTATCCTATCTGGGGATATCCTCCCAGTAGTTTTGTCCAGCCAGAAGGGGAAAAAAGTAGTTTTGAAGATTATAATAACAACTCCTGAAAAATGTGGAGGTATTCCAAAGATAAATATTTTAGATATTTCATAAACTCTCTTACTGACTCATCACAATGTTAAGGGTCTCTCCCATCAGCTTGTGCCATTTTTGTCCTATGCCTTGATTGGTCCCCTCTCTCTTTGCAGCAGTTTTTTGTCCCTTTTACCTAGCAACTCTGGTCTCCAGCCAGTGGTGGGGGCATGTTTCACTCACCCACTTCCTCTGTTTGTATAGCTCATTGCCAGCCACAGTCTTCTTGGCTGGGTCCCAAGATTCCCTGTGGTTTCAGGTGAGTTTGAGGGCCCCCTCCTGACTTCCCTTTGGTCTCTTGTCTTCTCTTTCCCCCCACTAACTTCCTTTTCTCCCTCTGGGTCCCCTCAAAAACAACCTATGATGTAGGTGCTGTAATTAATGCTCTTTTTGCAAAAAAAGAAACCAAAGTTTCCAGAAGTCAAAAAGTATACCCAAGGCCATAGAAGGAGGAGCAGAGCCAGGGCTGAAGCAAGTCTATTTGACTCAGGGCCTGCACTCTTTTTTTTTTTTAACTATGATAAAATATACATAATGTAAAATTGGCCGTTTTAACCGTTTTTAAGTGTATAGTTCAGTAGTGCTAAGTACATTCACAACCATCATGACTGTCATCTGCAGAACATTTTTGTCATCCCAGAGTGAATCTCTGGACCCATTAAGCAGTAACTCTCCATCACCTCTTCCCCCAGCTCCTGGTAACCACCATTCTACCCTCTGTCTCTAGAATTAGCCTATTCTAGGTACTTCATGTAAGTGGAGTTATATGTTTCTCCTTTTTGTATCTGGCTTATTTCATTTGGCAAAGTGTTTTCAAGTTTCACTTTGTTATAGAATGTCATTCCTCCCCCCACCCCCTGCAGTTTTTGGCCGGGGCTGGGTTTGAACCTGCTACCTCCAGCATATGGGGCTGGTGCCCTACTCCTTTGAGCCACAGGCGCCGCCCTTTTTTTTTTTTTTTTTTCTGAGACAGAGTCTCACTTTGTTGCCCTCGGTAGAGTGTTGTGGCATCACAGCTCACAGCAACCTCCACCTCCTGGGCTTAGGTGATTCTTTTGCCTCAGCCTCCCGAGTAGCCTGGACTACAGGTGCCCACCACAATGCCGGGCTATTTTTTTTTTGGTTGTTGCAGTTTGGCTGGGGCCGGGTTTGAGCCCTGCCACCCTCAGTATATGGGGCCAGTGCCCTACTCACTGAACCACAGGCACCACCCAGAATGTCATTCCTTTTTAAGGCTAGATAATATCCCTTCATGTATATTATATATATATATATCTCTTCACATTTTGTTTATTTATTCACGTGTTGTTGGACATTGGCATTGCCCCCAGCATGTGGCTATTGTGAAAAATATTGCTGTGAACATTGGCATGTGAGTAAGTGTTTGAGTCCCTGCTTTCAGTTCTTTTGGGTATATACTCAGAAGATGAATTCTTGGATCTTATGGCAGTTCTGTTTTTAATATTCTGAGGAACTACCACATTGGTTTCCACTGTGTCTGCACCATTTCCCATTCCTACCAGCAATGCACAAGGGCTCCAGTTTCTGCATATCCTCATCAACAAGGGTCTGTTTTCTTAATCACTGTACCATATTGCTGATCTCAAGTGAGAGGAGTTGGATAAAAAAGGCAGTGGGGTATTCTCAAGAACTGCTTTGGCCAGGAGTGGTTGCTCACTCCTGTAATCCTAGCACAGTGGGAGGATTACTTGAAGTTAGGAGTTTGAGGCCATCCTAAGCAGGAGTGAGACCCCATCTCTATTTTAAATAGAAAAATTAGCCAGGCATTGTGGCAGGGGCCAGTAGTCCTCGCTACTGGGGAAATTGAGGCAGGAGGATTGCTTGAACCCTGGAGTTTGAGGTTGCTATGAGCTTAGGCTGAGGCAATAGTACTCTAATCTGGATAACAGTGTGAGATTCTGTCTCAAAAAACAAAAAACTGCTTCTGTTAAACTTTATGCAATCTAGATACACTACCTTTCTCTACTCTAGGAGAAGAAATGCTGCTGAAAAGAAAATCAGGCTATTCTTTCTTTCAGAGAAAACTGTTGGATTTTTATTCAGCTTCACTTTTTCTAGATGACATTCAATCCCCTTATGCCCCTCCCACCCTTTGGTTAGAATTGTTACGTCAATTTACTGAATATCATATATTAGTTTTAGCACTGCTAAGTAATTCACTATATATATGTGTGTGTGTTTGTGTGTATGTGTATATATATGTACATTATAAATTATAAATATATTAAAAAATATGTATATGGTATTCTAATCATTGTTATTGAGAAGCTGGGAAACATCCCAGAGTGGGTTTCTTTCTGTAGCTGACTCTTGTATTTTATGGAGCCCAAGGTGGGTTTGTCTGAGGACATGCAGCCCTTTGTGGATTGATTGACTGCATGAATAATTTGAGACAGAAAAAATTATTTAAACCTCATTGTTGCTCGAGCTTGTAGTTTTAAAATTTATGTACTATGAAGTCTTCAAAGTGGACTATGGAATTTCTTAAAATTTAATTTTTCAATTCACTGTTTACTGTAATATTCTGATAGAAGGAAGTTTTAACTTTAGTTTAAAATGTCCATGATATAGAGAACGAAAGTGTTTTCTTTTTGCTTTCCTTTCAGTTGCTGACAAGATTTTGAAAAGGAGAGACTATCCGCTTACTATCAATCGCAGCTGCCATAGAGTTTTGGTTTCTCCATATGTAGAAGAACACTTGAAAAAGTATCAGGTAAAGTCATCTTTTTCATTGTTTTATTTTGGGAACTCACTGTCAACCCCATCCCACAGAAAATAAAGCAAAAGTTAGACGTTTGCTGCTATTGAAATCTTATCAAAATAATGAGGAATATCAAAATAGTTTCTTCATTTCATTTTTGCATGGTACAGAACGAATTTTCTTTTCAAGAGAATTTTAACACAAAGCTGTATGTGATTTAACTTATTATGCAATTTTTTATATAGAAATCAATTAGATATTGGAACAGTTTTTGGTTTTGTACACAGAGACATAGCTACCTTTCTCTCCTGTGCCTCCTGACATCGGGCATGAGAAATAATTCCTGTTCATTTTCTCTGAACCCGTTATTTTTTCCCCACACCTGCTCCCTTTCCTGTTCTTTCTCAGGTATCACAAGGCCTCACCATCTACCTCGTCCACCAGCCTGACAGCTGGAGTTCACATTTAACTCTTCATTTGGCTTCACCTCCAGCATTCATTCGGTCACTGAATCTTGTGACGACCCTTGTAACTGCTCCTTCTGTCCCTAGAGCTGCCCTCCTTTCCCCTACTGTCCATAATGCCTCTGGAGCCATCTTTCTGAAGTTCAGTTCTGACTCTGATAGTCTCTTGCCAGAAAAAAATCTTTCTAAGGTTCCTGCCTCTCCTAAGACAAAGTTCAAAACTTTAAGCAGAGCTTACGAATATGAAGCTTTGTAATTCGAAGCTCTTAGACATTTTCCTATTTTGAATCTCTTTTTCTGCATAGGTGTTTTCAGGACTGTCTAAGAGGACAGTGCTTCTGACTGGAATGGAAGACATTCATCTGGATGAAGAAATGGTGGAGGATTTAATTAGCATTCACTTCCAGCGGGGGAAGAACGGGGGCGGAGAAGTGGATGTGGTCAAGTGTGCCCTATACCAGCCTCACATCGTGTACTTTGAAGAAGAGACTGATGTGATCAAGTAACAACTGGAGCCTTTGAGCTCCAATCACTGGAAATGTTTGACAAAAATGAATATCCTTTCCCTTTAAAAGAAACTTCTAAGTTTTTGGTGTTCATTTATTCTTGGATTCAAAATAAATTTTCATGTGTTTGGATTCTTTTTTTTTGTCTCAAACTGTGCTGAATGTTTTCAACTGCAATAAGTGCACTGTATTAAAAAACAGTTCTGTTTATAGATTATGTGAACTGCTGCCATGTCTGTTGAAATCTACCATAAGTGATCCAGATGTCCCCCTGCCCGTGTTGGCTCATCTTGTCACCGTCATGTGGGCCAATTTGGTCTTGGCCCTGTGTTCACCCACATGCAGACCTGATGCCTAACATTTTCCAAAGGAAATGCAGTTACTTTCGGCAGTTTGTGATTTCTGTAGACTTTACCGAGAGGGGTGACTTCCCCACTCTGTGTGTCCCTACTTTGTGAACATTCCAGCCCACACCTCCAGAGGTTCTCAGTGCAGAGTGTGGTCTTTTTTTTCAATTTTTATTCACCCAAGTGCCAAGTGTCCCCTGATTCCTTCCAAGTCATCCCCTCTACAAGTTGAAGTTGTTAAGACCAACATTTGGAATAATTGGTATGAAAGATCAAAAACTTTAAAGTCAGAGGGAGGGTAAATGAGGGGAGCATATTGTAAGGGTACAAGTCAAATCTATCAAGTATAGAACATAAATGTCTTAAGATAATAATCAAATGAGGTGAATGCTATATTAATTAGTTTGATGTAAGCACTCCAAATTGTATAAAAAATCAACACATTGTACCCCACATATGCGTAAATGTATTCATGATCTATCTGTATATGACTTAATAAAAAAAAAAAACCTTTAAAGTCAAGAGAGAGGTAAATACAAAGTTAGTGTCTCAGCACTCAGGATGGTAAAGGCTGGGGAAGGTGTTTACCTGCTCTCTAGGGCACTAAAAGTTCAGCTGGACCCAACCCCTGAGTGGATGAACAAACTGTGGTGTATGTATACCACGGAGTACTATTCAGCCATAAAAAAGATGGAGGAGACTTTAAAACTTTTATGTTTACCGAGATGGAGTTGAAACACATTCTTCTTAGTAAAGTATCCCAAGAATGGAAAAAAATAATATCCAGTGTACTCAATACTAATGTGAAGCCAATATATAAACCTCTTAACCCGCCAAGAGGAAAGAAAACACAAGTATAGTCTAGCAAGGAGGAGTGAGGAGGGAGAGGGAAGGGAGGAAGAAGAGGGAGAAAGGAGGGGGAGGAGGGAGAGCAATCGGAGGGGTCTCCCCTAATGTGCACAGTGTGAGGGTGTTCAGCACGCCTCTTGGGTGAAGGATTCAACTATAACTTGAACTTTAAATTAGAACCAGAAACAATGTAACCTGAACATTTGCACCTCATATTAATCTGAAATTAAAAAAAAATGTTGGCTCAGTGTCTGTGGTTCAAGCGACTAAGGTTCCAGCCCCATACACCTGAGTTGGCAGGTTCGGATCCAG